CCGGTCCCCGGTCCGGTACGGGGGCAACACTGAGGGTTGCGATCCGTTGCCGGACACGGAAAAAAAAAGACAAAAAAAAAAAAAAAACCACTGTTTTAGATTTTGTATTCACTGATCATAGTTAAAATTGACCCTCACTTTTCTTAACCATAAATCTCCTGTTTTCTAATCTGCTCTCCACATCATCTATGACTTAACCATCTACTTGGATGACCCACCAACACCATGGCTACTACTCAAATCTTTGCCCCTCTCTTCTCTACTGAGTCTTCCTGTACCAGTTCAGCCACTTCACAGTCCCACTTTGGACTTGTTTCATCTCTACAATATTAATTTAGACACCCTATTTAGACCTCACCTTCTTCTGGTTTGTTTGTGCAACTCCTTCAGTTATAATCATTCTTTTACCTCATTAAATCTTCCAGTTTATTGTCCCATTTGCTTTCTCTTGATCTATCAGTCTCCTTTCTTCACTTTCCTTCTTTTTGCACTTTGGGTCCATGGTTCATCATTTCTGTTACACTTTTGCCAATACCTTAAATTTCCTTGCCCCTGGATCTTTTCCTTGTGCAAAATTCCAGCCTTGGAGAGAGCCAATTAGTCATTTTCTCCTTCCTTGTACCTGATTAGTTTTTTAATTTCATTATTGCCTACCTTGAACAAAATTTGAACGCTGTTCAACAATGCTATTATGGTTCTGTGATTTGCTTACTTTGCCACTCACCACAATGACTTATTCAAACCTTCCCTTTCCTAAACTTCTGAACCTTTCTACCTCTCCATCAAAGCAGATTACTTTGTCTCCTATTTAAAGCGCAATTAAAAACCGTCCACTGGGAGTTGCCTCATGTTCCCAATTTCAAACATACAGACCTACTTGTATCTATATAATTCTACTTTCTTTTCTTCCTATTACAGTAATAAATATAAAACACTTACTTTGTGCCAGTACTTGGTTTTTTTTTACATAGATTATCTTACTGAAGCTCCACAAAAACCCCTTCAGATATATCATCAAATGATAAAATGGATATCATTTTGTAGAAGACAAAATTGAGAAACAGAGAGGTTATATATTTTGTTCTTAGGCTCACTACTAGCCAGTGGCCAAGCCAGAATTTACACATGGTCTGACTTCTGAGCCTATACTTTCAATAATAATAGGAAACAAGTAATGTTTACTATGGCCAAGGTACTCTTCTTTATTTGATATTGACAGCAGCTCCGTGAAGTAGGCACTGTTATTATTCTTACCATTTTATAGGTGAGGGAAACTGAAGCACAGGGACATTAAGTTCTCTGACTGTAGGACCAAGGTCACACAGCTAGTGGGTAGAGGAGCTGAGATTTAAATCTAGGCAGTCTGGCTCCAGAATCTTGTGCTCTAGCCCACTATGTTCTACCACCTTGATTTCATTATACTATATGTTGCTTCCTGTTGGAGGATGAACTCTCCTTCCCTCTCTTTTGTCTCAAGAACCTAATGCTATTGTTTCCTCTCTAAATGTGTAGTTGACTTCTCTCTGAACTGGATCTTTCCCTTTTTCTCTGAAAAATTCAAGTGTCGCCCATTTAAAAAGACTGAAGCTTCTCTTAACCAGTCTCCTCTCATGTCCCTTCCTCTTTCACAAGTTGTCTGTACTCACTGTCTATTTCCACAGCTCCTGGTTACTTACTCTTTAGTCCATTCTATTCTATTTTCTAGTCCCTTCACCAATGTGCTGCATGTCACTAATCTAATGAACGTGACCTCTCAGCTGTATTTTTCACTGATGACCATGCCTTCCTTCTTAAGTGTGACTTCTCTTTTGTTGTTTTCTCTCACCTCTTTGGTTCTTTTCAAACTCAACTGTGGGCAGATGCCTGGCCATTTATTGTTGGGGTTGGTTTGGTCATAGGCCTTTATTTTCTAGGTGGTACTTGCAGCTTCAATTGCCGGCCGTATGTAGATGATACCCAAATTAATGTCTTTGGCTCGGGTCTCTTCTCAGAGCTACAAACTTGGATATCAAATTCCCACATGGTTTTTTCTCTTAGTTGTCTCAATGGCACCTGAACCCAACATTTCTAACATCTAACCCCTGATTTTTCTCTCTCCAATCCTGGTCATCCTATCCTACTCTCTTGTAATGGTTTTTCCAGTTTTGCAACGTACCGGAAGCCTAGAGTTCCTTCTTGATACTTCCCTCTCTATCAATCTATTGTTAAGTCTGCAGATTCTGTCTCCAAGATAACTTAGTATTGTCTGCTTCTGTCTCCACTACCCCACCATTGCCTTTTACCAAGTGCTTATCATCAGTTTTCTACAATAGGCTTTAACTGGTCCTCTGACATCCCTTTTGCTCTTATTCCTTCATCCTTTCCACACAGCAGAGGGATATTTTTTAAACAAGATATACATAGATTAAGGTCCCTTCTCACTAGTTTAAAACTCTTCAATGGCTGGCCAGTTAGCTCAGTCGGTTAGAGCGCAGCCTTTTAACTGCAAGGTCATGGGTTCAAACTCCTTTACTGGCCAGCTCACATACACAGAAAACCCAGAAAACCTAAAACCATACTCTTGCATGACTTCCCATTGCTTGCAGGGAAAAATCTTCCTTAATATGGCTTATGAAGATCTATGGGCCCTGCCTTACACTCAACTCTCATCTTATCTCTCATCACTCAGCTCTCATCTTTCATCTCATCTCTCGTTACTCAACTCTCATCTCATCCTCTCCCTTTCTTTTTCTCACCTTAGGACCTTTGTGCATGCTTCGCTATCAAACTAACTCATACTCATCCTTCAGGTCTCAAGTCACATGTCTTTTGCTCCCTTAGGTCTCCCTTTCTTTGGTTCTCTCATCACAGAGTTGCTTTCTTTGTGTAATACTTTTCACCTTTGCAGCTTTACATTTATTGATGTGACTATTTGATTAATCTGTATCCTTTCCAATAGACTAAGCTTCATGAACAAAAAAACCTACTGTCCCTGATTCATGATTATATCCCCACAACCTAGTCTTTAATAATAATCCAAAATGTTAAGGTAAAGCATTTAACACTGTCTTAGTCTGTTTTGGGCTGCTGTAACAGAATACCACAGACTGGGTAATTTATAAACAATAGAAGTGTATTTGGCTCATAATTCTGGAGGCTGGGAAGTCCAAGAGCATGGTGCCAGCATCTGGTGCACAGTATCCTGCTGTGTCATATATGGTGGAAAGCAGAAGGGCAATAGAGTGTGAGAGCGAGAGATTGAGAAGGCCAAACTCCCTTTATAACAACCCACTCTCATGACAATGACATTAATTCATTCGTGAGGGCAGAGCCCTCATGGCCTAATTACCTCTCAACAGTCCTGCCTCTTGATACCAGCACAATGGCAAATAAATTTCAGCATGAGTTTTGGAAGGGTTATTCAAACCATAGCAAACACCTAACCAGATTAATGAAAAATGAAATCACTTGATGTTGATGAGATAGTGATAAAACTGGTAACTAAATAAACTTTTATTGTCTTCACATAACAAGTACTATAGAAAAGGCTATAAAGAAGACTATAAAGACTGTATAGAAAAGGCTCTGTCTACTCCTGTAAATTAATTTTTTTTTTTTTTTTTGTCTTTTGTCTTTTTCCGTGTCCGGCAACGGATCGCAACCCTCAGTGTTGCCCCCGTACCGGACCGGGGACCGGCAACGGGATTGCAACGCTCGGTGTCGCTCCCGCGCCTCGCTCAGCCAGTGAGCGGGAACCAGTCTGTATATGGGATCCGAACCCTCGGGTGGGAGTGCCGCCGCGCTTCCCAAGCGGCGCACTATCCAGTGCGCCACCGGGCCGGCCTGTAAATTAATTTTTAACTAAAGGAAAAAAAATGTATATTTTCAGAGATGTTCATTGCAGAATTATCTATAATTAGAAAAACCAGACACATAATCCATATGTCCAATAATGAAAAAGTAAAGTAAATTAATATTGTGATGTCTGTGTAAATGATAGAAAATATTTTCAATATAAACAATGAAAAAACAATAAAAAGCTGTATTTATACTACATTTACAGCATAATCTGAACATAATTATAAATTTGGACAAAGATGGGAGGGGAACTTTGACAAAATAAAAAGAATTGCTTTAAGGTTTATGAATGTTTTATGTTTTCAGCAATGTATTGTTTTTGTGATTTAAGAAATTAGTGTCTTAGTGTTGTGTATTTTTTTGTTAATATCACTAAGGGTACTTTTTTCTCTTTAGTACGGACCTATATTTAGTTTTACCATGGTGGGCAGGACGTTTACTTATCTCCTGGGGAGTGATGCTGCTGCACTGCTTTTTAATAGTAAAAATGAAGACCTGAATGCAGAAGAAGTCTACAGTCGCCTGACAACACCTGTGTTTGGGAAGGGAGTTGCATATGATGTGCCTAATCCAGTAGGTGACACTGTTTTTGTAAATAGACAAATTTATTCTATAATGGTTATAACTGGTAGTGTAATATACATTTGAAATGTAGAAACAACTTATTCCTTGGTTCAAAAATCTGAAGACTCGAGACATTTAAAAGAAGCCATGAGTAACTGATAAGTTGTTTTTTTTAAACCGATAGTCTTGTTTTATAGTTGTTGGCATGGGCAAAGCAATTTTAAAGGGCTTTCTGTGCAAAGAAATGGAATCAATGATAACTTAGCATATTGGAATTTGATTTGAGAGGATAACAAGGAAATCCGATTATTTCATCAAAAGGGCTTCCTGTCTACACACTCCTGCCTTCCTAGCTTAAGAGCTGTTTTGAGTTAGAGATTGCTGACTTTAGAAGTCTTCTTTAATGCAGCTACCTTAGGTGTGAGAGGCATTTGTGTGTGTGTTTTACTTCCCTAAAGCCAAATATTAAAATGTAAGTTGATATAGAACACAAATCAGATAATTAACCCAACTGATTGATGTGGCTCTGGCTATATATATAACACATATAACCCAGTGCTCTAGTATAGAAGTGAACAATTAGACATTAGATGTTGTTTCTGGGAATCGGGGGAATGAATGGTTCTCGTTAAGGCCAAAAGTAAGGGCCCTGGAAAATCCCTCTGCTCAGATATTTCTATCCATTTTTTTACATAGCTTATTAGACTCTTAAAAATAAAGTAAATGCCCCAAAGGGTTAAAACCATTAGTTGTCTTAGTGTAAATTTATCTTATTTAACTATATTCTAATTAAACTTGTAGAAGGTAGTGTCAGTGAGGAATGGTATTTGTTTGGGAACAGAAGGGGAGAATATGTGAAAAAAGATAAAAATAATATCAAAGTATAGTAGACACTTGAGAGATTGTGTTGGCAGACTGGAAGATAGTCAGAAAAGGAAAAGAGAGCTCTGGAATCAGGAGTAGGAAAAGGGTATATAGGGAAGAAGGCAAGGAGGTATTATTCCTAATTAATCATTTGTCTAGAACTGATAGCATGTGCCTTCTTTCTACATGTTACTTCAAATATATGCATAAATGCAGTTTCCCATATATGGTATAGTTTTAAAACATCCTTTTATTATTTTTACTTTCCATTTTTCATGATGTTGTTTTCTTTGATAGTTATAATAACTAAATGAATCTATGATAAAACAAAAATGTGTTTAATGCTATATATCCTTAATTGTTTTGAAGGTTTTCTTGGAACAGAAGAAAATGTTAAAAAGTGGCCTTAACATAGCCCACTTTAGAGAGCACGTTTCTATAATTGAAAAGGAAACAAAGGATTACTTTCAAAGTTGGGGAGAAAGTGGAGAAAAAAGTAAGCAAAATGTTGTACATTTGTCCTAATATGTCTACTTTTCTGTGAATAGATATCTAGAGTACGTATGTGTGTATATACGAAGGTATTTCAAAAAGTTAATGGAAGGATTCATCTTATCTTTCAATTCTATTTTTCCACAAACTTTTTGAAGTACCCCATATAAAACAACCACAATGTACATAAAACTAGTGAAACTCCCTTGGCTTTAATGGGAAGGACGTGTTAAGAATACCGTGGAGTTATGACTGTGAGTCCAGTCTTTGTACGGGATTGCAGTAGGTACTGCCTTCTGAGGCAAGTGCTGTCCCTACAGCAGGAGATAACATCTGCCCACTGGGCAGCGGCACCCGGGACAGCAGATCACCACATTCTGGGTCTGATCATCAGCTTCTATAAAAGGTCCAGAAACTTGATTTTACTTTTAGTTCACCTAAAGTTGATTTGATATATTTTTTAACTATACGAGAAGTATGATGTATAAATTAGATGCCAATTTAATAAATACACGTCAGACATATACTTATTGCACCAAGAAGATCAGAATATTTGCTGATATTTTCTTTATTGGCCAAGCTAATTGGAAAGCCAAATGACAATTGAAAATTCATTTGGTGAATGTAAAATTAAATTAAATTAGGAACTTAATTGGACAATTTTTATGACTTTTAAATGTCATCAAAGAGTGCTTGCCTGATGTGATGCATCTGTCTCTGGTGTGGGGATATACCAACTGGTGATTAGTTACAGTTTCTTTTATGTATGGCCAAGACTTCGATTTTTAGCCCAATCTTCCTACTTTTGACCTGGGAAATAATCTGGTCTTGAGCCTTTGGACTGCCTTTCCTTGGGAAGAACTTCATTATTGTCCTCATGTGAGTTGAATAAATTTTTTGCTACTTTTGTTATACTGTGACCTGGAAAGCAGATAACCACGTCTATTTTTATCTTTTCAAGATGAAGAAGAGCTCATGAGTGAGGTTTGGAGACATCTTTGTGGTATCTATTTTTGGCTGTCCAGAGGAGGGTGCTTCCTATAATTTGGTTTATTGCCTCTCTTCCTTCAGTGTTCTGCATAGACTCATATCAGTCTATAGACTTTTTTTGATGATATGAATATGATCTTGTTTGTTCCTGAGTTGAGTTTTTATTCTCAATTTTCCTTCATAGTACTTTTATATCTTCAAGAAAACAGAATATTTCAAAAGTTTTTGGAGATAGTAATGAGAATGATCTCTTTTTCCCCTAGATTTGTTTGAAGCCCTTTCTGAGCTCATAATTTTAACAGCTAGCCATTGTTTACATGGAAAGGAAATCAGAAGTCAACTCAATGAGAAGGTGGCACAGCTGTATGCAGATTTGGATGGAGGTTTTAGCCATGCTGCCTGGCTGCTGCCAGGTTGGCTGCCCTTGCCTAGTTTCAGGTATGGATAAAGAAGATATTACATTTGGCTAGTTAACTTTGTATAACTATTGTAGTGTTGGTATGCTTTGCCTTAACAAAAATAAAAAGTAAACAGGTAAAACAAACAAATTGGGAGAGATTATGAACCCCCATCCTTCTATAAGTATTCAAGACAGGTTTTTTTTATATAGTGAGTTCATTTAATGTAAATTTTAGTTGATTAAAAAGGTGATTTGTTGTCTATCCTGATATTTTAAAGCCTATTTATCTCACATATTCCTTGTACTCAGGAAAGTCTCTGAACTATACCTAAAAGTGAAACGGCCCTCCTCTAAGCACTTGTTTGGAAGTCTTTGATGGTTTTGTAGTATATTGTGGAATTTCTTTCTTTTAGTATTTGTACCTTTCTTTTAATATTTATTTTAATTTCTGTTGGCCTCTTTGCCAGCTGTACTGTGATCCTTAAGGGCAGGGACCATCTCTGATACAAAGAAATATTGCTCTTAGGACTTGATGTATAGCTTAGAATCTTGCACATTAGTGGCTTTCTGTACCTTTGTTGATTCATTTCTGTTTAGGTGACAGATGGGGATGAGTTAAATTGGTACTCCGTTTTCCTTGTATTTCTGCCCCCTCTATCTAGTTACAGAATAAAAGAGGGGTGGGAAGTAAAAGGGAGAGCCAGGAAATGTTCTCCAGGGTGCTCTGGAACTCATAACCCCTTATATTTGTGAGGAGCTTTGCAGTTTCCAAAGTGCTTTCCTATATATTATGTTAGAACATCCAGCACAGCCCTTGGCCTGTAGTGGGGTCTCCATAAATGTGCATCAGCCTGTTTCCACCCGCCCTGTCTCCTGGATGAGGTCAGAATTTGTGAGTTCAGTATGATAGGCCCTTTATACTCTAGTCTAATCTTTCTCTGTTTTACTCGAACCAACTGATTTAACCAAGTTATTTCATTCACTTTCTTAAACAGGCCTTAAGTTTTCCTGGCTCTGCTGTGTTCATACTATTAAGCTTCAACATCTTCTTCCCTTCTGTACATATTATCTGAGCTGATCCTCTATAACAGTCTTGCAAATGAAGCAGGGCTTTAGAGTCAGATTGCCTGGTTTTAAATTCCAGCTTCACTACTCACTGACTATGTGACCTTATGTATCTACCTGTGAATTGAGTATAATAGTATCTACCTTACAGGAAATTAAAGTGGGTCATTCATGTAAAACACTTAGCATAGCAAATGCTACATAGTGAGGACCCTATTTAAAGGTACAGTTTTGGGAGTTGAAACTTGTTTTCTGTATCTACTAGTATTTTTGTCCCCTGCAAAAAGTATGATGTCTTAGAAAAGTAGAATTAAATCCTGTAGAAGAACAAGAGCGACTGTCATGCTTCAAGAACTGATTTGGTTAAAATTGGAATTTCATATTAATTTAAGAGTATTCTACTTTCTGTTGATCTGGAAAATGCTTCTAAGGAATTTCTTGCTTATTTTAGGCCTTTAGTTAGAACACAGGTGGTGTCTTGAGAATCTGGGATATATATGTTAAAAAACAGTTCTTACCCTTTAGGATTGTAGAAATTCTTAATAATATAAAATTTTCGTGCCTTTTTTTTCTTGGTTCTGAGTTTTTGTCAATGATTTCATTTATTTATTTATTTTTCCCCGCCAAGCCTCAGGTCCTTGGTGTTATCAGCACCATGCTCCAACCAACTGAGCTAACTGGCCAGCCCGTCAATGATTTCAGAGTCATTAAAGTTGATTAAATAAGGTTTTTTAAGCTAGGTCCTGGCTTTCAAATGAATTTGATCCTGTAAAATATTGCTTTATTCAAAAAAGTCATTTTTATCTTTGAATTACAGACGCAGGGACAGAGCTCATCGAGAGATCAAGAATATTTTCTATCAGGCAATCCAGAAACGCAGACAGTCAGATAAAAAAATTGATGACATTCTCCAAACTTTGCTAGATTCAACATACAAGTAAGATCTGTTCAGATTACATATTAAGCTGACGCAGGAAATTACACATTAAAATAGTTAAATAATATTTTCAGTTAAAAAATAATGATACTGGCAAAATAAGTTGGTAGCTATGACCTTTGGACTTTTTACATTGCTGAGACAATTCCTGGGATCCCATGCCTTACTGGAATCCTACTGACTGGGCATGGTAAAAGTTTGCTGATAAATTGTAATGAAGTCTTTTGCAATGAAAATCATATTTTCTACTGGCCTCTCTTTTCCCTAAGGGGAAAAAAAACTGACTGGTGATAGGCAAACGCAAGAGACAATTATACCTGAAAAACAGTGTGAATTATACCTGAAAAATACATTCATTGTGACCTTTTATTTAAAGTTGAGGTATGAAATGTGTCTGCCAAAATGTTAAATTTGCATGTGTGGCTCATTCCATAGGGATGGGCGTCCTTTGACAGATGATGAAGTAGCAGGGCTGCTGATTGGACTGCTCTTGGCAGGGCAGCATACATCCTCAACCACTAGTGCCTGGATGGGCTTCTTTTTGGCTAGAGACAAAACACTTCAAGAAAGATGTTATTTGGAACAGAAAACAGTCTGTGGAGAAGGTCTCCCTCCTTTAAATTATGACCAGGTTTGTTGGATTTTTCAGTTTTATTGCTGCCTTATGACTTTGAGTGTATGTGGCTAATTTTTAAAAGGAATAATTTCAGGTTTTCTGTAAACTATAGCTTAAATTGATTAGCTTCTCTGTTTTTAGAAAATTCCCCATAACCTTACCTAAAATATCCTAATGTTATTGCTTCTTGCCATTAAAGTCTATCAGGTATGTTTGGGGTTAATGCCTTCGAGATCCTCAGGATTGTGTCTTTGGTACTTACTTCCTCTGCTTCAAAGTCTGGCTTATGTAGACAGAGGATATAATGTGTGTGTTGAGTGTCTTATGAAGTGCAAAAGTCTCTGAATTACTTAGAATTCTACATGTCCAAAATGGCCTGTGCATGGGCAGAGACTTCCAAAAGTGACAGTGGTAGTACTGGGACTAGAACTTCACAAACACTACACCCAGCTTGCCGGGTGGAAAAAGAAGAGAAGGACTTACTGTACAACCTGAGATTCCATCTTTGAAGCAAACCCTGATCATCTCCTCTTTCTATTATCTTTCGTGTTTTTGGTCCTTTAATACTGTGGTGTATTACATTGATTTTCAGATGTTAATTCTTGTATTCCTGGGATAAATCCTACTTTGTCATAGTGTATAGTCCTTTTTATATGTTGCCGGATTCAGTTTGCTAGTATTTTGTCGAGGATTTTTACATCTATATTCATAAGGGATATTTGTAAGGGATATTTGTCTGTAGTTTTACTGTGATGTCTTTGACTGGTTGTGGTATCGGGGTCACAATGGTCTCATAGAACGAGTGTTTGGCAGTGTTCTGTGAGACCGAGTGTGTGGCAGTGTTTGGCCAGTGTTCCCTTTCCCTTCCTTTTTTTGGAAGACTTAGGGAAAGATTGTTGTTAGTCCTTTTTGACATGTGTCATAGAATTTACCAGTAAAGCCTCCTGGGCCTGTTCTTTTCTTTGTGGGAAGTTTTTTGATTACTAACTCAACCTTTTTACTTGTCTATTCAGATATTCCATTTTTTATGTCATTTTTGGTAGTTTATGTCTTTCTAGGAATTTGTCCATTTCATTTGGGTTACCTAATTTGTTGGCATTAATTGTTCACAGTATTCTTGTTTAATCCTTTTTATTTCTTTAAGATTGGTAGTGGTGTCTCCTCTTTCATTCCTGATTTTAGTAATTCTTAAAATAACAGCTTAGTTGATATATAATTCACATAGTATAAAATCTATCCATTCAAAGTGCACAATTTAGTGGATTTTAGTATATTCAGAGTTGGGAACCATCATCACAATTTAATTTTAGAACATTCACACCACTTCCAAAAGAGAGCTAATACTTCCAAAAGGGAGCAGTCATGCTTCGTTCCCCTGACCTCTGCCCCTGACTATCTGTCCTATTCTGGACATTTCATATAAAGAGAATCATACGTGGTCTTTTGACTAGCTCCTTTCACTTAGCATGTTATCAGGGTTCATCCAGGTTGCAGCATCTATCAGTACTTCAGTCCTTTTTTGCCAATACCACATTTTGTTTATCCATTCATCAGTTGATGGACATTTGGGTTGTTTCTACCTTTTGTCTATTTTGAATAATGCTGCTCTAAACATTTGTGTACTGATTTTTGTGTGGAAATATGCTTTCAATTTTGGGGAGTACATACCTAGGAATGGAATTGTTGGGTCAGATTAAACCTTTGTGTTTAACATTTTGAGAAGCTGCCAGACTGTTTTCTAAAGTGGCTGCATCACTTTCCAGTTCCACCAACAGTGTGTGAGGATTCTGATTTCTCCACATTCTCATCAAACTTGTTATTATCTTATTTTTTATTATAATGGGTTCAGTGAAATGGTATTTTGTTTTGGCTTTGCATTTCCTTGGTGAATAATAATGTTGAGTATCTTTTGATGTGCTCTTTGTTTTTTGTTGTTACTTTTTGGCGGCTGGTGGGTATAGGGATCAAACCCTGGACCCATGGTGTTATTGGCACCACACTCTACCCAGCTTAGCTAATTGGCCAGCCCTTGATGTGCTCTTTGGCCTTCATATATCTTCTTTGAAGAAATGTCTGCTCAGATCCTGTTCCCATTTTAGAAAATGGGTTGCCTTTTTATTGTCAAGTTGTAAATGTTCATGTGTTTTTTTCTTGATGTGCTTTTCGGTGTCTAAGAAACCAAACCCTAATCAGAGGGCACAAAGATTTACTCCTGCGTTTTCGTAGCATTTTGTTAAATCTCTTACATTTAGGTCTTTGATGCATTTTGAGTTAATTTTTTATGTATGGTATAAGGTAGGGGACCAATTTCATTCTTTTGCATGTGGAATCCAGTTGTCACAGCCCCATTTGTTGAAAACACTATTCTTTCCCCACCATATGGTCTTGTCAAAGATATATATTGAACATATATTTTTTGAACACTTTTTCTATTTTAACTGCATTTCCTTATGACCTTCCACACCGTTAGTTTAACTCATGTGGAATCATTCACATAGTAAAGTTATTGACCGTAAATTTAAGGCTTTATTTCTGGATTCTCAATTCTATTCCATTGATCTATATGTTTAGCCTTATTCCATTACTATTATTTTGAATTTGGGAGTGTGAATCTTCTAACTTTGTTCTTTTCCAGGCTGAGACTATTCTTAGTCTCTTCAACTTCCATATGAATTTTATGGTCAGCTTGTCAGTTTCTGCAAAGAACCTAGCCAAGGTTTTCACAGTGATTGCATTTTATCTGTATATCGATTTGGGAGCATTGCCATCATAACAATTTTAGTTTTTTAATTTAATTTAATTTAATTAATTAATTTATTTATTTTTTAAAGATGACCGGTAAGGGGATCTCAACCCTTGGCTTGGTGTTGTCAGCACCATGCTCAGCCACTGAGCAAACCGGCCATCCCTATATGGGATCCGAACCCGCGGCCTTAGTGTTATCAGCACCGCACTCTACCGAGTGAGCCACGGGCCGGCCCAACAATTTTAGTTTTTAGATCCCTGAATATAGGATATCTTTCCATTCTTTTAGGTCTTCTTTAATTTCTTTCAACAATGTTTTGCAGTTTTCAGTGAACAAGGCTTATACTTCTTTTGTTAAATGTATTCTTAAGTATTTAATTCTTTTTGATGTTATTCTTTCTTGTGCTAGTTCAAGTCTGCTGTTGATCCCCTCTAGTGAATTTTTTATTTCTGTTCTTTTCAAGTCCATAATTTCTATTTGGTTCTTTTAAAAAAATTATCTATTATCTCTATTTGGTGAGGCATTATTTCATACTTTAGACATAGTTTTCTTTAGTTCTTTGAACTTATTTATAATAGCTGATTTAAATTTTTATCTAGTAAGTCCAATATCTGGGCTCTAGAAATAAGTTTACTTCCTGTCTGGATTTGTTGTTGCTGGGGTTTTGTTGTTGTTGTTGGTTTTAGTTTGTTTAGTGACTTTCCTGGATTAATTATGTAAAGTCTGTATTGTTTGTCCAGTAAGGTCATTGAATGCTCTGCTTGTTTACTTTGGTGGCCACCTAATGACTGGAAACAGATCTCTTGAAGTTTCTTGAACAATAAGCCTCCCAGCTTTTACTGAGAGACTCTGTGTATGTGTTAGGGCATGTTATCAACACTCCAATAGGCAGTTACAGCTCTGCACCTTTACTTCCTATGTGTGCAGGCCAGCCAGAGGTAGGAGATTAGAGCCCTCTCAGATCATACCTGGGCATGTGTGTAACCCTGTATATGCGTGTGGCCTTCAAGATTCACTTATGTTGGAACTTTTCAAAGTCCCATGTAGACACTCCTGCCCCAGTTTTCCTTTTAAAATTTTTGTTCCGTCTTGTTAGCTCCAACTGATATCACTACCTCAGATACCTGCAGTATTAAGCAATTTCTGCTGATTGTTTTTGACAAATTTGTTCTGGCTCCTCTAGTAGTCGTTAGGCTGCTGGTTTTCACAGCTACTGTAGTTGCCATGCTATTGGTTTCCAAGGCTACCATGGATTTGGGGAGAGGAGGATGACAGTAGTATTTTTTCTTTAATTAACTGTCCTTAGATTGCTGCAGCCTTTGGTTAATTTTCGAAGGTTTTGAAAAAGTTAACGTCGATGATTTTTGATAATGTTCTCATTTTTTGGAAGAGTGAATTTTTATAGGTCTTTACCACACCATTCTTCAGGGTGATCACCTTTTTTTCTGTTATCTTGCCCTCCTTTTTTCTCTTGTTGACATGACTGTGAAAGAACATGATAGTCCCAGACACCCTGAACCAGTTACCTCTGCACTTCTACCCAGAGTGCAAGCTATTTTGTACTAACCAAGAAATTGAGATAGTTTTTTTTTTTACTTTTGAAGTATGTTAAATATTTGTAAAACTCAGTAAGTGCTTTCTCTTTTTAGCTCAAGGATCTAAATTTACTTGATCGCTGTATAAAAGAAACATTAAGACTTAGGCCTCCTATAATGACCATGATGAGAATGGCCAAAACTCCTCAGGTATGTCTCTTGGCTAGGTCTTCCTCTGTGCCTCCAGTTTTTATTTATCAAAAAGACGAAATATAATAGCACCAAAGAGAATTTTTTAAATTAAAAAAGTAGAATCATCATCACTTCTACATAATTTTTGATTTTACATATTCTAAATATATGAACATTTTTACATAATTGCAGATAGTATACATGCTCATCTCTAATTACGTCCTGCATTTTCATTTAACAATTGGAGTTTTTAAAATAGAAGTATACTTTTTTCTTGGTTTTAAAAATACCATCTGTTTGTTGTAAAAAAATTTTAATAGTATGTAAATCAGATAGTAAATGTTTCCCTGAATTTCCACACCTACTGTTGAGGCATTATGAGTTTGATGTGTATACATATTTTCAACTCAACATAGGCTTACTAGGAAATCCTCTTGAGTTAAAATAACTTAGCTGGCCTATCATCTAGCCACTTTTTAAATATATGTATATCTCATATATATTAATGCTTTATTTCACATGATTTGATTATTTGAGAGCATATTTAAAAGTACTCCAGTGAAGTGTGTTGCTTTCATTTGTAGATTGTGGCAGGGTATACCATTCCTCCAGGACATCAGGTGTGTGTTTCTCCCACTGTCAATCAAAGACTTAAAGACTCATGGATAGAACGTCTGGACTTTAATCCTGATCGCTACTTACGGGATAACCCTGCATCAGGAGAGAAGTTTGCCTATGTGCCATTTGGAGCTGGTAAGATAGTTACATTTTAGATTTGAAATGCTTGTCCTGATAACATATTTATCTCTGTCAAAATAATCCATGTGAATTTTATTTACAAATATCTTTCCCTTTCCTAATAGGGACATTCCTGCAGATTTTTGTAGGAGTATAACCCGTGTAAGTCGGGGAAAAAAATTTGTTCTAAAGGGAATTGTTTTTTGAATCCTTATATAATGCTCCATTATCTTTTATCTAGTTTTATTGGGTCTAATTTTTATAGACTTATCCTTGTTTTCCCTCATAATAGTATTTAAAGCTCTTTGTAAATTCTATTTTAAAGAACCGTTGGAGATAGCACACCATTTAGGTCTTTAAAAAGTTCATGGAAAGACTCACGTTACCTTTCAATTCCATTTTTCTATGAACTTTTTGAAGTACCTTTGTAACACTACCAGCATTTCAGAAAGCAAAGGCAGCCTTTTATCAGCACCGCACTCTCCCGAATGAGCCACGGGCCGGCCCAAAGGCAGCCTTTTAAAATTGAAGTTTTTCTGGATTGTAATCAACACTTTGGCTCTCTGTGAATAACCTTATGACAAAATGGTCTTTAAATTTGGGCAGGCTGTGTGTAGGTTTGCAAAGGTCATCTTTCCAGTAAGATCCTAAAATAATTCAGGCAGATCCTGTTCCTTCAATAATTTATCTATCCATTTTACTCTGTACAGATTTAAACTATATTCTATGAATTCTTATTTAGTTTTTGCAAACAGATTATTTAAGTGACAGATGGTTTTATTTATTTATTTTTGTCATTGGTCATACTTTTTCCACATATAAAGGAAAGTGTAAAGTACTTTGGGAACTTCAGATCTTAATTTTATTTAATAAATAAATTTAATAATGTGTATGTAATATATAAAAGAATCATAGATTGTTAACAGTTGGAAGGGGCATTAGTTCTATAGCCTAAATTCTGATCCAAGAGAAGTATCATTTCTAAACTGGTAATTATCTGGCCGTCATATGAATTTTTCAGGTAATGGGTTCCTTAGTAACCTTATATGGCAGCTCATTCTACTTTTGGAGAGCTGTCATGTTTAGGACTTTACATTAAAGCTGAAATCTGTTTCCTTTTAACATTCCATTTACAGATGGTCCTGATCATGGTTTCTCAATCTCTATTGTGTATCTATGAGGTATTTGAATGCAGATATAATGTTCCCTCGATCTTTTTTTCATCATTGTGTTAGTTTCCTAGGGCTTCTGCAACTAATTACTATAATCTGTGTGGCTTAAAAAACAACAGAAATGTATTCTCTCACAGTTCTGGAGGCTAGAAGTCTGAAATCAAGATGGTGGCAGAGCCATGCTCCCTCTGAAGGCTCTGGGACAGAATCCCTTCCTTGCCCTTTTCCTAGCTGCTGTTGGCTCTATGGCAGTACTTGGTTTGTTTGTAGCTGCATCACTCCAGTCACTGCTTCTGTCTTCACCAGGCTTTTCTTGTGGATGTCTGTCTTCACATGGCCTTCTCATAAGGACACCAGTCATAGGTGGACTCTGTGGTCCACCCTAACTCAATGTGACCTCATCTTAGTTTTATATACGAAGATCCTGTTTCCAAATAAGGTCACATTCTGAGGTTCTGAATGGACTTGAATGGGGGGGGGGGCATACAGTCATATCTCCAATTCATTGAACCATTCTTTTACTTTGTAATTGTGCTGTTGATCTATGTTGGTGCATACAGCACTTAGCTCATTTTTATAATATAACATTCTGTGAATCATTAGAATTTATTCTTCTGTTGATTCAGGTAGGATACTTCTGGTTTGTTGCTATTAAAAATAATCCTTTATTCTTCCTGTAAGCCAAGCCTCTCCTTGTTATATTTAAGTATGGACCAGTTTGTAAATGCCCTTCTTATATGTGGCTCCCACAAGTAAGTGTAGTTATGGGCGAAACAAGCACTATGCTAAGCATTTAGTAATAGTTTAGTTTTTTTCTTTTGGTGTAAAATTTTACTGAGAAATGCCCAAATGCTAAGTCAACATTCACTGAGTTTTGACAAATGAATTAACTTTAGTCATAATTAATGTTTTAAAAGGTTATTGCCTTCTGTTCCTGTCTAAAAATCTTTGCCTATTGGACTGGCTGGTTTACCTCAATTGGTTAGAGCGTGGTGTTATAACACCAAGGTCAAGGGTTCAGATCCCTGTACTGGTAAGCTGCAACCTACTCCCTGCCACTCACCAAAAAAAAAAAAAAATCTTTGCCTATTGTCATCATGTTTTCTCCTAAAATTTGATGGTCTTGGCATTTATGGTCTGTGATTCATCTCAAATTGATTTTTGAGTATGACGTGAGGCAGGGATTGGAGTTTTTTTTCCTATGTGGTAGTTATTCTAGCACCATGTGTTGAAAAAGACTTTCTTTTCTTTATTGGCTTGCTATAGCACCTTTGTTGATAATCAAATAAACATAAAAGTATTTCTGGGCTCTGCTCTGTTTCATTGATCTATTTGTTGATCCTTATTCAGTGCCACACTGTCTTAGTTGTTGTATCTTTAGTCTTGAAGTCAGATTTGAAGTCAGTTTAAGTCCTCCAAGTTGGTTCCTTTCCAAGCTTGCTTTGGATATCCTAGGTCCTTTGCTTTTCCATATGCCATTTAGAATCGGCTTATCTTTTTTTACACGTGTATCACCTTTTAAATTTTGATCTCAGTATGCATGTTGTTATTTTAGGTTCATTAAATCCCTTTTTCTTCCATAATGGCATTTGAAGTTTTGATTGGAAAGGTCAAGGGATAGTATTTTTGACCATTTCAGATTTCAAATTTTTGGATTAGGGATGCTCAGTCTGTGTATAATTAGCCAAGTGCTATTTTTCTAAAAACAGACATTGAAAATCTACTGGGATTTTTAATTAACTATTTACACTCATGTTTTATGTGAAAAGAATATGTCATCTTTTTATTATACTATCTGTACATCTGATGATCATCTAAAATGTAGATAAGTAAATGTTACCACACCAGGTTAAAAGGTATGAGAAGGAATTTAAACTGATTCTTACAAAAACTCTTTTATTTTTACAGGGCGTCATCGTTGTATTGGGGAAAACTTTGCCTATGTTCAAATTAAGACAATTTGGTCCACTATGCTTCGTTTGTATGAATTTGATCTCATTGATGGATATTTTCCCACGGTGAATTACACAACTATGATTCATACCCCTGAAAACCCAGTTATTCGTTACAAACGAAGATCAAAGTGAAAAAGGCTGTAAGGAACTAATACGTGACACACCACTGTAAGGTGCAAAAGCATTAGAAGAGAGCAAAGTGAAAAACAACTCGCAGTGTACTGTTTTTTTGAGTGTGTAATTCTAAAAGACAGCCAGTTTAACTTTCGGTATTAGTATTTTATTAACAGGTTCTATCAACTCTAATGGCATTTGAAACATTTTCTAATAGTTTTGATACTTATTACATGTGCTTTAATGGAGCCAAGTTTATTAGTAAAACATTGTTTGGGGGATCTAAGTAATTGGCAGATTCTAAAAAATACAATTTGTAGGTACTAATTTTAACAACATACATATCTCTTGCCAAATAAGTTCAGGGTATTCAAATCTTGGACTAGTTCTGCAAGTAACTAGTCCTGCCAATAAAAGGCCCAGTGAGATACTTGGAAGGCATAGGTTATTCATTTACCTGGACAATGTTTGTGTGTGTGTGTGAGGATAGGAGGGTGGGGAATCAACTCACATTTAAATCTTTGGATAAAAGAGAATACTGTTAATTGTTTTGGTATGATGATACTCGGTAATGAAGAAGCTATGTTGTAGAAAAATGTATCTTCTGAAATTTTAACTGGAAGGATTGGCTATAGGAAGTTGAGATCTAAGACCATGACTTGAAAATCATGTTTTGTAAAAACAACATAATTATTAATGCTAAAGACTACTCATGTATCTTGACCTAATTATTAATTACCTATTTATCTATCTGATAAATATGTATCTGGTTCTATAAGGTCACATGTGTGTGAAAATCCAAAGTAAAGTCCTTAGGGGACAAATTTTCTTTCTCTTATTTGACTCAAGGTTGTTCCCTGCTTCCTCTCTAGAATCCAATTATGAATGTTTCTGTAACTACTTCTGTTGATTACAATGGTTAAGCTTTTAAAAAAAAATAAAAAATCAGAGATTAGAGAACTCTGGCTTTAAGATAATATGAAGCAGGGTCCTTGGGAGTACTATCAGCCACATTCTGTGAAGCCTGTGTTCAGACAGGGGCCTCACCTTATCAGATACTTGTAATTTGACCACATATAGTCTTTTTATTAGATGAGGCCAAAATACTTTCCCTATGTATATAAGGAGGCTGGAAGACTCACGTTAAACTGTAATTGTGAAGGCAAAAATCTATGCTGTTAATTTTTCACATTAAAATTCTCTTTGAGAAATATACAGTCTGTATTCGTGAATTGTAAAATGTATGCTTCAGTGAGTAGAGTTCAGGGAATCTAGGAACTTGGATGGGGAAAGCTTCATCTTTATTTGCACTAATTTCTAACTGCAAGTTAGTATTTCCTTCATTTATGAATTCAGGCAACAATCCACAGTATTATCAGTACCCATGATTCTGTTAATAATAGAAGGTACAGATATTTTCATATCACATTACAGATGGAGCAGATCTCTTGAAGTATCTTTTTCTTTCATCACTAGTTTGAAATTATAGTAGTTATTAGACCTATAGCTATATTTTATTTAATGCTCTAATCTTATTGATATCACAAAATTTTTAAAAAGTTTGACAATTATTTCTATATAATTGATTTCTTGTGCAATCCTATATATTTTGCATAAATATTATTCTGAAAAGGGATCCATATTTTCACCAGACTGCTAGAGATTCACAGCACAAAAAAAAGTTAAGAACCCCAGGTAAGGCTATCTTGTTTGGTGAATAGTTTTAGATTTCAGCAGATTTAGTCTTTAGATTATTAAGAAGCATGACAAGTGTGACTGCAGAAGACTGATAGTACAATAGTAAGGAGGGCTGATGGTTGAGCAGGGGAGTGGCCTCAGCTTGATGAGAGCACTTGTCCAACTGCTCTTTTCTCCACAAGCTCCTACAGCAGAACAGAAACACTATACATAGACGTAGAGTTGATAAAAAGGCACATGCTTGTAGAAGATGTTCTTCCTCAATGGAAGGAGAGAATAACCCTAACAGTATCTAACACTTACTAGTTATCTATTAGGACAACTTTGTCTCTGAATCCCTAAATCCTACATAATTGAGGTAATTAGCGAAATGATATAGCTCGGTTAAAAAATGAAGACGATTCAAATACAGAGTGGTGCAAATGGTGGTCATTTTTATTTCAGTACTTGACAAAATACCCCATAAAATTCAAAACTTCTACCATTATACAAAAATAGGTCTCTACAAGTGATATTGTCTGTCTTCATCACCAGTAGCAAATATATTAGATGGAAACATGTAACTTCAGTAGCCTTTTAAGAAAAGTGCAGGACATCTCAAGCTACACATTCAGCAGTATCATAATATGCAAAAGTTTAATCTTTTCACCCATTTGATAAATACACAAGGTTTATAATTTAATCATTTAAATTAGCATTCCACAAATATACATGTAATTTAGTGACTACTGTGCATGAATACATGCACAATGCTTATATATACAAATTCCAGTATGTTTTCATGTGCTGGCAAGGGATTTGTATACAATCATAAACTGTGTTCCTATTGGTCCCATTGAATATTCACAATACAAAAGCACAAAAGAACCACTGACTTACAAAAGAGTTTGTTTAAAATCATTTCAATTAATGATGTTTCAAAGGATTATCTTCTCATGCCAGTGTGAAACTGAGTTGTTGAACCTGTGATAGAAAAACAGGACATTTAAATGATTTTAAATAAAACTGCTACCTATATCAGACTAACTAGTTCACTTACGGCAGATTAGTATTATCCTCCATTTTTTAAAAAAAGCCTTTTTTAAAAAAAAATGTCCTATTCATATTTGAACTGATTTCTAAAAAAGATTTTGAATATGTGTTTAAAAGTCAATATGACTGGTGCTATAGCAAGGTTAAGTGACTAATGTTAAGATTAAAGTGTTCTGAAGGTTGAATATTCCGTACCTCATACATCTTAAAAATGTTTTGGTCTTCAACACCTGGGTCTTTGGATTTGTATGAAATTTGGATGCTAAAAACAAAACAAGCCAGACCAATCCAACAAACAAACCTCAGCTAAGATAATAAAAGTTTTCTATTAGTAAAAGTTACTTCCGTTACAAAAATGATTTCTTGAAACAAGAGATAAAACTATTAACTTAAAATAGCCTGTTATCAGTCCACAGTCTGTGGGACTAGTGGAAAAAGGGTCCTTAATAAAAGTAAAAACTTAGAGCACAATCACTTAAATGATTCAAAGTCTTTGAGTCAGGAGTGAATTAAAGGGAGATAGGGAAAAGAGGTTTTCCCACAACAAACAGGGAATCCACTTCTATTATAAACTGAGTTTTTTGTGTGTGTTTTGAGCAGAGAAAAATAAAAGATCATTCTTACAAAGCCTTTTAAATGGGATGGGATTTTTAGATCCTACATGAAAGCACAATTAGTAGTAGTAGGGATGACGGTTACACGCAGTGCTTAAAGCAACTGCCTGCTTCCCCCACCCCTTATTTGTATGCCTTACCACTTTCTACCGCACGTGACTAAGGATCTTGTTCTCCAGGAGGCTCTGTAGCCTCACAGCACCTTGCACATTGGTGCTCATTGTGCATTTTGTCTAATCAATCTAAATGAAAGTAGTAGGGAATCATTTTGGGGAGGAGTGGGATCGGGGGTGATAAGTAATACCTTGACTTAAATTCTTTAAAGTCAGTTTCTCTGCTGGTTACAGAGTTTAAGCTTTGGCCAACTTGGTAACTCACGAACTGAACTGGAAGATTTGATTATCCTAATGAGGAGGGTCAAGGAGTTTCAAACAACGAAAGGAGTGCTGTGGGCCTAGAATTATGGTGCTGCCAGTACGTGGTTAAACTTAGAGCACCTGACTGAACAGTTCCAAGTCGTCTTTGCAGTGCCTCTAGCCGAGTGATATAATCTGTCAGGGCTCTGTCAGGATCATAATTTTGAAGCTGAGAACATGCTAGGGAACCAGGATTTACATCAGCTGGAGTGCCTGGGTACCTACAGGATTAAAAATATGTACGTGAATCCAAATTATGCAGAAACGATGCAATTAAGTTACCAATCTGCCTCCACGACTTGCCCCCAAAAGGTAGGCCACTTATACACTGCCTAATCTATATCCCCCATGCTTCTGAGTTTGGGATGATAAAGAAACAACTTCCCAATAAATTCAAAAAAGCTGCTAAGTCATCATAAGAATGCCCAGTACAATGCCTATTGCAGAGGTCCTCAATAAATGCTGGACATGTATAAAAGCATCTTGTCTTGCAGACTGTAGAGTTTTTTCACAATGGCCAGAGACTATCAATTTTAGTGAATACTTTTCCCAATGTCTAAACACAGCATATACTATACAACACTTGGTCAGTTCTGTTTCCTATACCTTTAAAAACAAGTTACAAATTCAAACACTGGTTTTGATTCTTAGACTATATAAATATAAATAATTAAAGATGTCTAGCTATCTCAATGCAATGAAGTCAAAGCCCTACCAATCAATGGTAATCTTTTTCTGTTAAGTATTAGTGTATTTAACTACTTCAGGCAGGTTTTATCAAATTCTTACCTATTTTGAAATGGTAAAGGAGACCTAGGATAGTCCAGATCTGATCTTGCGCGATATGTAGTGTGTCTTGGTTCTCCATATAGCTCCAGCCCAACAGAAGAATGATAAAATGGGTCAGTCTTTTCAGCACCTAAAGTAATCCAAAATATATCTTGTGAAGAAAAAAATACCAAGCCCTTGGAAAATTTCCACAAAACAGATAACAGCTCAAAGGACTATTTATTATACTATACTGCACTCCTATACTACCATCTCCTATTTACGATCATTTTCACTTATTCCTGCTGAAGAGGAGAAACAACAGTACAAACAAAAATTTGGTTTTCAAATGTTATTTTGTTTACATTTGAATATGAGTATTTCTGATATCTGGAACTATGCCTCAAAGAAAACAATACTATTTAATTGGGGTATTTTCTTTTTAAAAGACCTCTTCTTAGCTATAACCAGATGAGAGGTGAGGGGTGCCTGAGTGTATGGGAGGAAAGATGGTGTGAATAAAAAATACTTACTAATGTAGCCAAATCCTTTTAATGCTTGACTCTTTATTGCAAAAAACTTGAAATCAAGATTTGCTAACTCCTAATACACAAAGAACTCATGATATAAATTTCAGCTGTTTCAGTGTAAGTATGCATATTTCAAAATACTTTAGAGTAACAAACATAATTCCCCCTTTCTCTGCTGCTCAGCTACTGGCAGAATATCTAAAGGTGTTGTAATACCAATACACAGCACCAGTATGTCTCTGAAACTGTGTGCTCCCCAGCTTTTGACCTCATCTTTATGCCTGAAATGTTCAAGCCCTAATAGTTTGTTTCCACTTCTAGGTGTAGAAAGAATTTTAACTGTTGTTATTATCATACAACCTATTGGTAAACTCAGAAACCTGTCTAAATATTGCTAAATTATGAAAATTTCAAACCTAACTCTTCCATAAGGCTGAGTAACAGCAATCCTATCTTACACCAAAGCCTTACATGCACTTGTAAGGAGAGTGGGCTCTGGAGCAAGACTGCCAGGGTTCAGTCTTGGCTCCACTACTTCCCTAGCTGGTAATTTGGAGCAAATGACATGTGCTTTCTATGGCTCAGTTTTTCATTAGTGATGTGAGAATAACAGCAATTGAACTAACATCACAATATTGGGAGAATACACGAAAAGAGCAGGGCCTAGTGCAGACTAAGTGCTCCATAAAATTAGCTATTGTTATTATTATTATTATAACTCTCCTTAAAACAGTGAGGTCCCCAGCTTTGTTATAAGGACTCTGTCTTTGGACAACAGTGGTTCCAGAATTCTTTATCTGGAAGGTATTACACACACAGTAATTTTAGAGAATTATAAACATGAGAAAATATGCTATTTTGACTTCACCTGGATTCAGTCCGAAGCCATCCCTGTTAATATTGATGGAACAAGAACCTGTGACTCGATGCCACCGTCGAACCAAAAATTTCATTCTAAAAAAAATCCAAAGTTAGTTTCACAGCACATCTTTATTGTAACAGTATATATACTTCCCACAAAAATCAAGTCATATGCTTAAATATGAACACAGAACAAATTTCAACATAATCACAGAATTGCCTAATCTAAACTGTAAATGCCCCCTGGTTTGCAGCAAAATCAACTGGTACAGAATAACAGGGCTTTAAGACCCACT